CACTAACTCATTCATCTTAAAAATGTAAACATTAGACTTGCGATTTGCAATAAAAACAATTTTTCCATCTTAAATTAGGGGGTTCTCTAAGGGGGTGTTTGTTTTGTTTTTTTTTTTGGGATATAGGGTAGATTTTAGTTTTTGGGATGTAAAAAGTGGTTTTTTGAGGTTTTAGAAATCCATAAACCTTGTTTGTTTCCAAATTTTTTTTGGGATATTAAATCCCAAAACAATAAAAAACTAATTGTTTTTAGCATTTGTAAAATCCTACTTTTTGGAGTGGATTTGGGCTGGATATCTGACATATCACGTCCAGCTCAGCAATAACTCCGCTCTTCTGAAGACCGATCCCACCCCAAAATCACCGCTTTGTAAAATCACCTTTCGTTTGGGTCCTCTTTTACCCGCCGTCTCAAATTCCGTGCGAAACCCTAGCGATTGTTCCCGCCGAACCCCGACTACGACGCCACCCCCTCCCTCCTCTCCATCCCAACTTCAGCGGGCTCCGCCTCCTCCTCAGCGTCCCCAACTCCTAGGCAAGCCGCCTTGCCTCTTCTCCACTTTCCATGAGGTTTTGGGGGTAACTTGATTTGGGGATTCTATTATTTCAACCGAACTTGCCTCTGCCCGAACAGTTCTCCGACCAACTAAGTCTCCTCCTCGGCAGGTAAAAGTCGTTCCCTTTCTCCATAAATTAGGGTTTCTTTGTGAAATTGATGGATTTGGTTTTGTTATTGGGGTGTTCTAGCTGAAATTAATATGTGGTAAGGCATATGCAATTGATTTAGTTTTTGTGCTATATAGATTGTTGAAATTAATATTGGGGTGTTCTCCATAATTTTCCCTGCTAATTTTTGTTTGTCTTTTTATTTTCTTTTAAATAACAACTCATCTTGTTGACGGTGGATACATTCATATATTATTGTTGACTAAATGGTAAAATGTTAAATGATGACCCAGCTCATTCTATGATTTGAATTCAATTAACTTGTTGAAAGAACTTTTTCTGCTTAATTGGCTCTCCACATCCAGAGTGTAAGCTTGTAGAGTAGAAATAATGCCGTATTCCAGCATATTACTATAAGTGAGAACTGAATGAGTAAATACAAGACATTGTTTTTCCTTAGACGAGCAAAGACTGCGATGTGGTATAAACAAAGAATACATGTGGCTATGATACGCACAACTAGACTTTTTCTATGATACGCACGGCTAGAATTTTTTCTACCAAAATCTTTATGACTTCTCTTCGCTTTTGTCTAGTTAGACAAACAAGTCAATAATCAAGCCATCAACTTAACCTCTCTTCCGTCTGAAACATCATTTGTTGGTTTGGAGATACTTGACCCTAAAACAATGCTGCAGACTGCAGAGGGAGTAGCACGTCAGCATGTTAGCAACTTCTTATGACTTTTAGTGATGTGTTAAACAAGTGCTATTAACGCTTACAGAATGTGGTAAGGCATATGCAATTGATTTAGTCAACAATACTATATAGATTGTTTTTGTGCTTTTTTCAATTTTGTGACTTTGTGAGTTTTTTTAAAACAATGTAGATGGACGACATTGATGAAGAGATGTTAACGAGGATGGCTTCTAATGCTACTATCTCCGTGGTGATTTGTGTGTTTACATGTTTGATGAGGATACGTAGTAGACGGAAATCAATCACTTATCAACGTAAGGTGAAAAATAAAGAGAAGATAGATATGAGAGCTAGGCACATAAGTCGTGTGTTTAGTGGCTATAATGAGAGTTGTAGGGCTTATGTTAGAATGAGGCCGCGTGCATTTCATAATCTTGTTAGCATAATGAGATATACCGGCCTACTAAAAGATGGACGGGTTGTTAAAGTAGAAGAACAATTGCTCATGTTCCTTAATATATTAGGCCATAAAACAAAAAATAGAATTGTTAGGTCACATTTTATAAGATCGGGGGAAACCGTTTCAAAATACGTTAACAAGTGCTTGGAAGTCGTTGGTCGTTTAAGGGGGCGGTACATGAAGCAAGCACCAAATGAAGTATCACCAGAGATTGCCACTAACCCGTTATATTATCCTTATTTCAAGGTAATCATTATTATAATATAACTACTCACAATCTAACAATTAATTTTACCTTTCTATTATTAATAAATGTTTAATGTATCATATAGGATTGTATTGGCATGATAGATGGAACCCATATCGACGCCATGCTTCCCGCTAGCCTTGTTGCACGTTTTAGAGGTCGTAAAGGTGTAACTCAAAATGTTCTAGCTGCATGCACTCCTCGTAAAGGTGTAACTCAAAATGTTCTAGCTGCATGCACTCCCAACAAGTTATTTTCGTATGTTCTAGCCGGATGGGAGGGATCTGCAAATGATTATAGAGTTTTGCAAGACGCGTTATCTAGACCACAACCTCGCGGATTGAGAGTTTACGACGGTAATAAATCAATCAAATAAAGTATGTCTACTTAATTATAATTAAGAAATATACTAAATTTCTTTTGTTAAATGTAGGAAAATATTATTTGTGTGATGCGGGCTACACTACTATGCATGGCTTTATCTCCCCATATCGAGGAGTGCGGTATCATCTAAATGAGCACAAGGGTAGGCCAATCAATAATAGACAAGAGTTGTTCAATTTAAGACACTCATCCCTAAGGTCTAAAATTGAATCAACATTTGGGGTATTAAAAAATCGTTTCAAAATCCTATCCGCGAAGCCACATTACCCTTTTCCAACTCAAGTTGATATAGTTATTGCATGTACTATACTTCATAACTATATCGCCATAGAAGACTCGGGCGATGAGTTGTTGCATGAGGACAACCATATTGAAGAGGATGAAGATGAAATAGCAAATGAAGGTGAAGAGGGTGTTGTTGACTTTACTCAAACTATGACACAAAGAGAGGAAAAATTTTCAAGAAATGAATGGAGAGCAAAGAGGGATCAAATTGCAATTGAAATGTGGGAAGATTATTGTGCTAAATATCGCGGTGGAGACACAACCGAGATTGGGATTGAATGGATAGCAAAGAAAGATCAAATTGCAATTGAAATGTGGGAAGATTATTGTGCTAAATGGCGCGGTGGAGACACAACCGAGATCGGGATGTAATCTAAGTTATATTCTCTATGTGGTATTGTACTCGTTGATATATTGTCTACTACCTCTATGTATTCGTTCATGTTACAACAATACTCATGGATAAATGAGTATATTATCATTTTCGCATGCTATTTTTGTGTATATCCAACTTACGGTTATGTTTAATTTTGTGCTTGTTTGCAACCTTGATTATATGAGCTGCGAGGCTTGTTTGCATATTGGTTTTTCAAGCTTGTGGTTTATTTGAGTTTTCTGGATTTAGCTATGAAGATTGGGCTTTATGAATGCTACTTTTTGATGTTCGTACTCTATTATTGTACTAACATGAGGTTTAAAATTTGTTATTTGTTTGTTTTAATTTGTAGCAATCAGTCATGGCAGATTCTAATGAAAGTGATAAGTTCAGGAATACTTCACCTAGAACACCAACAACACCCACTTATCCATACTTCCCGGCTCCCCCACCACCCACTACACAACCATTCCCTCCGCCCCAATACATTGCTCCACCGACTTATCCATCTTACAATCCTTATGATATGAACTACTCATTTATGACTCAACAACCCATGTTGTTTATGAATATGCTTAACAATGGCCACCCACTTATCCACACTTCCCCTGGTACCCATTCAAGTGAGACTCATTCTTTGAAGAGGCCAATGGCAATTGACCTTGAGGATGATGCTGCCTCACCAAGCAAAAGCAAAAGCAAGAAGCGGGCAGTTACTAAAAGAAAAATGCCACCAAAGGTGCTGAACAAAAAAGAGAATACAAGGGGGGTGCCTAATGCTAAATGGACTGCAGAGAATGATGATGTGTTAATCCCCTTCCTTGCTCAGATGGCAAAGGATGGTCTTAAAGTTGATAAAAACTTTAAGGTGCTTGCATATCGAAGAGCTGCAGAGGAGGTCAACAAGAAGTGTGGCACTGAGTTCACAAAGGAGAATGTCATGAACCATGTCAAGTCCTTGAAGGGTAAATATTTTAATATGTGCACTGTCATGGACATGAGTGGGGCTGGTTATGATCCACAAACTAAGATTGTCACCATGGATCCGGATTGTTTTGATAGGTGGACACGGGTAATATTTTTGATAAATAAGCAAACTTTGAATATTTACTTCTTAGTAACTAATTTTGCAATATTTCACTGTACAGGAAAAAAATGCAATAGCTCTAGATTGAAGGAGTATTTGAACACTTCTCTCATTCACTATGATAACTTGTGTTATATCGCGGGAGATGACCAAGCAAAGGGTGATTTCACCCAAGATATGACTGAGAAGCTTGGTTCTAGACAACATGATACGGATAGAGATGAGGATCATGTAATACTTAGTGATAATGAGGTTGATTTGTCCCCAAGCCCACGTCTTGAGTCCGAGAAATCAAGTGGGCAAAACCACAACTCTCAAGGTAAGAAATTGAAGGCTTCTAGTGGGATAGCTTCTGCATCAATTGATACATCAACTCCTAGGAAGAAGAGTAGCAAGGCTAAAGAGGATGAGACTCTCATGCGTGGTTTAATTGACACGATGTCGTTCTCAATTCAAAATCAACATGTACATCAACGTGTTGTGCATTGGAGTGAGACCATGGCGAATGCTCTAATGACGCATGAGAGTGAATTTTCTGAGGGAGTATTGGATAAAGTGCTTGATTACTTGTATGACCATGAATCAGAAGCTAGGAGGTTGATCATCAAAACCAAAAATTCTCAAAAGCTATTTATAGAGAAGATTATCAACGAGCAAGGGTTTGACTTATGAAAACTTGATATTGCACTACTTTTGAAGACTTTGACATATCTATTGCTTTTGTAAACTCATTGTATATTTAACAACTTAATGATGTAACTAATTTTGTAAGTTGAACACTTAGTGGTGTAGCTTTATGTTATTAATTTTGTAAGTTTAACAACTTAATGATGTAACTAATTTCACTACTCTAATTGCAATCTCATTATAACTTTGGTTCTTTTGCAGGTTTATATAAATATCATTGGATATGATACTTGATAGCAACCTACATTGCACGATCCATTCATTTGATTGCAACCTACATTGCAGCACCATTGATAGATGAGGCAATCCATGTATTCAATTTTAATACCTATATCTGAGCCCCTAACTTGATCCTATTATGAGTTTTCCCGCTGGTGGTCTGGGTTGCTGGGTTTGAAGCTTTTGATTTGGCTACATTTTCTCTGCTATTCTTCTAGATCATTCTTTGATTTGGGTTGCTGGGTTTGAAGCTTTTGATTTGGCTACGTTGATGTACATTTTCTATGAGCCTTGGAATTCATAATCTTATGTTTCAGTTTCAGTTTCAGTTTCAGTTGCTTCAGTTGCTGGGTTATTTGGTCTGGGTTGCTGGGTTTTGTTGCTGGAGGGCTTATGTTTCAGTTTTAGTTTCAGTTGCTGGGTTGCTGGGTTTTGTTGCTGTATATGAGAGGCATAAGATTTTGATTTGGCCTGGGTTGCTGGGTTGCTGGGTTTTGTTGCTGGAGGGCTTATTTTCCAGTTTCAGTTTCAGTTGCTGGGTTGCTGGGTTTTGTTGCTGTATATGAGAGTCATAAGTGCTTGATTTGGCCTGGGTTGCTGGGTTGCTGGGTTTTGTTGCTGGAGGGCTTATGTTTTAGTTTCAGTTTTAAGTGTGTATGCCTGTATGTGTGTGCGTGTGTGCTTGTGTGTGTGTATGTATGTGCATGTATGTATGGGTGAGATGAGTTCATGGTTATTATCTTATGCTTGTGTATGTGTGCCTTTGTTGTTTGAGTTATTGCTTGTCTGAGCCTTTGTTGTTTGAGTTATAGCTTGTTTACAATGTCATGTGCACTTCTCGTGGTGTACGTGGCACATCATTGTTAATTTCATACATTGATTTATTTTATGTCATATAATGGCATTTCTTATTAATTTCTGTTAGTTCGAGCGTCCTCTGTATTCTGTTTCAGAAAGACATATGTGCACATATTTGCATCTCTATTATACGTTTGTTTTAGGCCATACCTCCAATGCTCGCTCTACGCTGCCAGTCTGTTTTCCACAAAACTAATGCATATTGGCTGTTATGTGTTGGTGTTCAGGTGCGTGGGTATGTGTAGGCATCTGTGCATGGATGTGTTGGTGGGTGGGTATACATGTGCAATTAACCCTTTCCAATATTGAACAGTTTAGAGAGTAGAATTCTGATTTGTGTTCTTGGGTCCATCTTGCTTGTTGGTGGCTACATTGCAAGATATGTATTGGTATGGCTATTTTGTATTATTGAATTTGGGCAATGATGATGGTCGTATTATGAGAATGCAATCTACAATGTTTTGCTATGTTTAGGTAGGGCAATCTAGGATGAGAATGCAACCTAACATTGTATTTACAATGTTAGGTGAGGCAATCCATTCATGTGATTGCAACCTACATTGCAACATCATTGTTAGATGAGGCAATCCATGTATTCAATTTTAATATCTGTATCTGAGCCCCTACCTTGGTCCTATTATGAGTTTTCTAATGGTTCATTGTCTGAGCCTTGGGTTGGGTGCTTGTCGGATGCGTCCATAGGTGCGGGAGATCTGTGGGTGGTTGTGTGTTTGCATTGGGGGGTGCATGTGGTCGTGTGATTGTGCAGGTGTGCATTTGTATTTGTGTGCGCGCGAGTGTATGCATGAATGTGTGTGCTTGTGGCTGTTATGTGTTGGTGTTCAGGTGCGTGGGTATGTGTAAATTATCTGTGCATGGATGTGTTGGTGGGTGGGTATACATATGCAATTAACCCTTTCCAATATTGAACAGTTCAGAGAGTAGAATTCTGATTTGGATACAAGTGTGCAAATTATCTTGATCTATGCAGGGTAGAGGGGAGCACAAGAAAATTTTCAATAAATATTTGCTCGGAAGCTGTCTTCATGATCAGGGAGTTTAATCTCATATTACTAATTATCTTACTCAGCCTGCTTCAAATCTTCTAATTCACACAGCTCTCTATGTGATGCAACTTTCAGAGGCAGTGTCATTGGTATAGCTAGGTGATAATACCAGGATGCGATGTTTTCTGGGATGGTTAATGTGGTTCGAGGTCTTTGTAAATTTGTTAAACACGACTATTTCAGATATATCTTGCTAATGTGAATGAAGAAATATGCATATGTCATCTATTCTGTACTTGTGTAAGTGGCTTGGTTATCTTGCATCTTATAATTTTACTGAAGAAGTATATATAATTTTCATCTATTTTGCGCTATGTATGTACGTTTGTTTTTTTTCTCCAGTGAATTGTTGTGCGTTGTTTGCTTATTTATAACTGTGCAATTGTATTTGTTTTTGTATGGGAGGTAAGCTCACCAAAGTTCTTATATTCATCATTTATTATTTTGGTAATCCTAAAACTTGTTTGTTACAACTATGGATTTTAAATTCTAAAATTTGTAATGCTACAATTTGAGTTTGAAACAAACAAGAATTTACAAATTATAGCATTCCAAATCCCAAAATATTGATGAAACAAACAAAGTTTTAGGAATCCCAAAACCCACCAAAAAATTTATGGATTTCAAATCCCATGTGAAATCCATATCCATAAATTTTGGGATTTGAAACAAACACCCCCTAAAAGTTAAGGGGAGTTTTCAGATAGCCCCTAAAGCTAAAGGGTTTTCCGATATTTTCAAAGTGAAGGGGGTTTTCTTTTAATCATCCAAAATTAAGGGTTTTTTATGAAATTTAGCCTGTATTTTAACTCGCGTTGGTTTCACGCGGACATTTCACTTGCGTTAGGTTCAAGCGAGACACTTCGCTATAATTACTCACCGAGGCCTTTCGCTCGTCCTCAGATTCAAATCGCGAGTTCAAGCGAGACACTTCGCTATAATTACTCACCGAGGCCTTTCGCTCGTCCTCAGATTCAAATCGCGAGAAAAATGGTAATTCTTTTCCATCTTACTTTGATTTCCCTCCTTCTTAAATTTAGGGTTTCTAAAATTTAGGTTTTTTTTTCCTGCAGTTTGTCAGTTTTGTTAATCAAAGCATGAATTTTCTGCTGAATGGAGCTTCTAATTCTTTGAAAACGCTGTCGACAAAGTTAGGGTTTCGATAGGTTATAGAAGGTTGGAAACATTGATTTCCGAATCTAGGGTTCGAAAACGAGTCCGATTCAAATTGCGAAAAGGGGAAGAGGAACGACGAATGAAGAGTGAGCAAATTTTCTTCCTTTCTTTTATTTTCGGAAATTTTCTCTTAGTTTTGTATGTTTTCTTTCGAAATACTTCCAATTTTGTGAACATCACTGTTTTAGAGTTCATCAATTACTGTCCTTTAATTTCCCCCTAGAATCGTAGTATGAATTTCTTATTTTCTAGTTTCTTTCTCTCACTTTTGATGTTCAATAATTTTCTTCAATTTTTTTAATCATGCGATCACTTGAAATGCTGCTTCTTAAGCTTGAAGCTACGAATGGATGGGCAGTGACTGAAATAGAAGCAGAAATGATACTCGAGGCTCAGGAGAAAGAAAAGGTGGAGGTCAAATTTAACCCTAACTTCAAGTTCAACAAGTTGGGCGAGTTTCTTATCAAAAACCAGCTCTACTCAGAATTTCTGCTTAAAAAAATGGATGGCATCACCACCGTATACATCTAATCCTTATTTAATTGCATATGCATTGTATTTCTGGGTTATGATTGTTTGCTGTTAAAGCAGAACAATGTAGTGAATAAAGTTGAAGAAGAAACGATATTTCCGATGTAGAAGATTCTTCTAAAGAGAAGCAGGGCTAAAGAGGGAGGCTGTTAAGAGTGCTTCAAAGTTCAGCAATGTGAGTTGCATTTACTTTGCCCAACATTCTGATCCATAAAGCATTGTCAGTTGTCGTCTTTTTGAATATGGATACTTCCATTTGTATTTATGTTATACCTTTAACTATGCTCTTTGTATTGCCATCATGTCACTTGAAGTCGAAGATGCATGTGGTTGATTGTTAGAGAAAAGCGATGACTATGCAAACAGAGATGACCGTATGCATGTTCAAATCAGCTTATTGAAAAGTTAATCTACTGTAGGCATATTTTCAGGTGCATATGTTTGTTTGTTTAGAGAAAAGTGAGGACTGTCATCGCAGCTATGTTGACAGAGATGGTCATGCGTGCATATGGACCAAGGGTGGACTTTATTCCTGGCATTGATTTAGTAATGTAAGTACCCCTTGTTCCACGGAAAATTTACCTTACTTATTTGTGCCCATATTAATGATAATATGGTGTGCACACAGAAGCTGTTGCGTTGGGTGCCTTCAAAACTCGTTGATGGAGGGCAATCCCAAATAACTTTTTTCCTTGTATATCAATGATGCCATTTGAGCCGTTCTTTGATGATTGTATATTACTACTCACGGAGTGATATCTTTTACATGCTTCTAGTCTAGATGTTTGGTAATTCCAAGCTAACATCAAATTGGCTTTTTCTGTCAGGAAAATCCTTTATCTGTCAGGAAAATCCTGTTCGTGCCAATGGCCAGATCTTCGGAAATCCTTACAATGAAGTTACAGTAAAGAAAACCTGCAGAAAATGTTGAATTGCTAACTTTTACTTCTCTCACTCACAGGTGTACTCGAAGGTCTCTGGAGAACCAGCTTTGAAGGTTCCAACAGTACATGCCAGCTCCAGGATCTTTATGGAAATAGAATATGATTATAGCTCTACTTTCTACTCTCTCCAACTGGTTTAATGATTTCTAAAGGTAAAACTATTTTGTGAAATTGTCTTTTGTTTACAAGCATATACAGTGTTCTAACATTGGGAAGCTTTGCATTAGGTTTGTTCTCTCCATGTGTACTATCACATATCATAGAACTGAGGAAGAAAGCACAAAGACAAGAAAAAAGTTCATGTGTACGCTAATCATAGAACTAAGCAAGTATGTTCTAGTGGATGAGGTAAAAGCTCTACCCTGTCAATTTTCTCTATATTTACTGAGATATTTAGTTCTTCCAGTTTTTCTTCTCTCATTGTCCCCCTTTTTCTTAGGGCCATCGCTTGAAATATGCACCCTCTTAGTAAGGGAATTAAAACGCTTACCAATGGAAAATAACCTTCTTTTGACTGACCCTGCTGTAAGTACAATTTGGCTGAGCTTTGGTCATTGTTGAACTTCATTTTTTCTGGCATTTTGTCGACCAGTGTTTAGTTTGAATCTTCTTAAGTATGTACGGCTGACAGAAAGTCAGCTATCAGTTATTTTATCCTTTGGAGAAAATTTTGCTGCCTGCTGGGGTTACGATTATCACAATAGTGCTTTTAAACTATTAAATGAAACAAAACTTTTTCCAACTGAACCATCAAACATTTTCACCTTTCTATTGAATAGATGAACATAAATAGCAAATATATGAGCATGCATCGAATCCACAAGCTATTGGTTGACTTGTTTCTTTAGGAACTGATTTTTCTAAGTTAATAGGACCATCTCTTTTTTTTCCTTTTCGGAAGGTCATATATTGTTAATACTACCTGTTACTTCTCTTAGAACAAATGTGTTCCAACTTTTTAAGCATCTTTCTTTACTTTACGTAAATTTTCTATTGCTGATATCTTTGAAACTATGTGGCACGCTTGTTGCTATTGGTTCTAGTAATGATTTACGTGCACTTTTGTTCTTTGAAATTATCATGTCCTCCTAATCCTGCAAGCATTTTTTGTAAATTATAATTTAGAGTTATCATAGCTAGTGACAGCTAGTCTGTCCTCACAATGTATACCTGTCTTTTAGTTTTATTATTCCCTAATCTTTTTCTCCTCTTGTTCATATTGTACTGATTGTCTTTATTTATACGAGCGTACCTCTTGAAAATGTTATCCTAAGTCTCTAAAAGATGTCTCAGGAAAGTGGTTATTTTGTCAGTCTTTAAAATCTCCATTTGGCTTTTTTTTTTGCTTGCTGTCCTATTTTGATGCTGACAGTCATCTTCTTCTTTCAGTTTTGATTTTTCGAGTTTTTTTTTGCTTGCTGTCCTATTTTGATGCTGACAGTCATCTTCTTCTTTCAGTTTTGATTTTTCGAGGAGGGCCAACGGTGACTTAGAGCAGGAAAATGTTTGCATTAAGAGAAGGGTTGAGGTACTACTTTGTGCAGATGTTATATATCACGTCAGTTATGTATAATGGTTTAAGAAATAGCCCTCAAGCATTATGTTGACAAAATGATTCTGTATTTTTTCCTTTTTGGTGGTCAATCATTTCTTTTGTCAAAGATTCTTCTCTACGTCTGCTTTCATGACTGACGTGATACATAACATCTACACAGCTGGTTAGATCGACATTTTTCTTGTTAAAGGGCAGCTTAAGTTTTTCTAGATGGTTTAGAAGTAGGAGAAATGTACATATACAGTTGTGTGTATGGCAGTTGAGCTGTTCATACTGATGTTTGGTTTGTACGATGGGTACCTCTGAAACTTACATGAAAGGGAAGTAGAACAATTTGGTAATTCAACTTAAAAAGAATTGTAACCATCCTGATCTCTTAGAGAGTGCAAATATGATTGATCACGTAAGGACTTGAAGTTTACTATGGCAGTCAGTATCTCTCTCTGACATCTTATTATCCACAAGTTTTCCTTTTACAAACAAAAATTCAATGGAAACTTATCTGTGTTGGGATCATGGAGGGATTTCACGCTCAAACATCATAACTTTGGTACCACATTGTTTTGGGGACATTAGCAGGTAGCATAAGGGGATGATGGTTCAACCTTCAATTTTTGTAAGGGACTTTGAAGTCCTTAAACCTATTCTACTGTTATGCACGAGAAAGAGCGAAATAATTAGTTAGAAGAAATGTTATAAGAAGATGGAGAAAAAAATCTGCCAGTCAGGCAGGTTTGGCGTTGGGTATGAGTCTAGACAGGGTTTTGATGAAATTCAAAGCCGGCCTGTTTGGGTTTGGGTTAGACTTTAAGCTTTCTAGAACCCATAACTTCAGGTCAATTTTGAGTACAGACACAACCTGGTGAACCCATTTATATGGGGATTGGATCTCATTAATTCGATTGTCACAGACTCCTGTCCATAACTTGCTATTGATTTCTTATTTATGTCCATTGTCGTAAGAAGCTTGCCCATGAGTATTGGAGACTAAGTTCAAGTTTCAAAAGGCTAAAATTTGTATCGATCAGTTAGCTAACATCTTTTCTTGTTACTCTTTAGTAAGTATCAGGAGGTTAATATGCTGTAATCTTTCTGGTTGATGAAGGTAAACTGGGACGAGGGTATGGACTGATGCGGCAAATGTGATGTTAAGGGTAACTCCACTATCAATTGGCTTCCGAATGGCTCATTGAACTAAAAAAAGTGAGTTCATATTAAGAACTTTATTTATTTGTTTCATAATTGCTTATGCCATGTGGTATGTTTCATCCAAGACGTCCTTTTACAGTCACATATAGCAATCTTGGATAAATATTGGTTGTGTTGATCATATAGGTATGTACGTCCACGTACTGCAGAAGTTCTCACGGTGTTCATAGGTACAGGAGGAGGTAATGCTATATCCTTAAATCTTTTTGCTTCATATTTCACTCCTGATACATGAAGTGGGATTTAGTTTTAGGACTATTGTAGTCTTAGGCATTCAGCTTACATCACATACAGTTTTTGCCTTTTGGCAAGTCTGGGTGGGATTTCATGTTGGCAAGAAATATAGTAATTTTTTTCCTTTGGCCATGATAATCTTTTGATGAATTTATTTTCCTTGAATGTTTGTCTTTTTTAGTATATTTTAACATGGAAAAAACGAAACTTGAAGCTCAGCTTTTTGAATTCCTGATGAATTCATTTGCAATTGCTAAGCTAGTCAATTAACAGCGAACTGTAAGCTCACATATACTTGTGAAGTTTTATATAGCATCTTATCTGCAATTTAGAGTTTGTATTAAGAGTTACTCTAACATCATTTGTCAGATATATTTCTTCCATTTTCCATTGTTCTTTAGCTAGGTTATTGGGACACTTCATTTTGGCTCGAGCTATCTCCAACACCTCCCACGTCTGTGTCCAACACTCCTTGGACATGTCTCGAATACACACATACATTTATTTGGATGTGTACTTAATTATATAATACATGTTTCACTTTTAAACAGTCATGGTACACTTCTTGGATATACATCTTACCCTTCACCACAAATTTCTGCAACTCTTTCAACTCGACTCAAAATTGTTTTAGCTCATACCCAATTCATAAGTATGATTCTAAATTGTAGTTTGGTATTTAGTTAAAAATACGAGCAGATTTTTAATTTATAGTCTATTCAATAAAAGAAACATAAAAATGTTATAGGGCTTTTCGTACAACATGTGAATGTAAAGCAATATTGATCCCATATGAATTACTAATTTTGATATGCATATTTATAGCCATGCCCCTGAATTTTACATTTTACAAATTTGTCGTCTCTCATATCCACAACTGCATTCATACACGTGCAATGCAGTCCTTCAGTCAGATGTCTTGCACGTGTCAAGAGCTACTTTTTTGGAGTTCTAACTGAATGCAAGCAAGTAGACTAAAGTAGATCAAAATAATCATTTCTAATTAAAAGAATCAGAATTCACATACTTATTCACTAAGACAATGTTGGTCCCTCGGCCTACAGTCTCCGAAAAGAATTTGGCCCATACAAAAAGATTAAATTCGGCCTTAAATTATTTATTCAGAACTAAGGCCTTTAGGTTATTTTGTTTAGGCTTTTCCATGGTAAAAGTCTAAAACTCATTTAAATTAGATTTAAGGGCTTAATATAAATATAAATTAAAAGTTAAGGTCTAATATGAGGAAAATATAATTTTTGGGTGCTAATTCACATCGGTGGACTTACCTTGATCGAAGTAGTGTCATGTGACACCACTTTGATCAAGGAGGACAAGCATCCAACTTCATTTAACACCCATCAATCAAAAAGTCATGGCACTAGGTGACCTCACTAATAAAAAATATATGCTTCCCGCTGAAATCTCCTATTTCCCACCCAACCTCACCCAACTGAAATATTACCCTGCAACTCAGTTTCAGAATGTTATTTTTAATATTAGTCCCTTAAATCTTTGGTACACTAAAATTAGTCCCTCAAATGATAAAAATCGGTATTCTGCCCGTCTCTCAATTGTCCCCTTTTTCATAGAGTCATTGCTTGAAAATATGCACCACCTCTTTTTAAGGGAATTAAATTGCTTTTCAATTGAAAATAAGCTTCTTTTCACTGAGACCCTGATGCAAGACAATTTGCGTGAACTTTTTTTGTTGTTGAGCTTCATTTTTCCTGACATTTCGTCCTCCCATGCTCAGTTTGAATCTTGGTAAGTATGTACTGCTGACAGAAAGTAATCATCAGTGATGAGTTAGTTTATTTCTTGGAGAAAATTTTGCTGCCTACTGGAATTACTACTATCACAACAGTGCTTTTAAATTATTGAGTGAAACCAAAGTTTTCCTAACTGAACCTTCAAACATTTACCCTGATACAAGACAATTTGTGTGGGCTTTTGTTGTTGTTGAACTTCATTTTGCCTGACATTTTGCCCTCCCATGCTCAGTTTGAATCTTGGTAAGTATGTACCGCTGACAGAACGTAATCTATCAGTGATGAGTTATTTTATTCTTTGGAGAAATATTTTGCTGCCTACTGGAATGACTACTATCGCAACAGTGCTTTTAAACTATTGAGTAGCACAAATATATTCCTGCTATTGGTTGGCTTGTTTCTTTAGCAAATTGCTTTTTAAGTTAATGAAAAACCATTCTCTTTTTTATTTCAGAAAATCCGAACTTGTTAAAATCATTTGTTATGTTGCTTGGCACAAATATGTTTCTACTTTTCAAGCACTTTCTTTGTTGTATGGAATTCTTGTAATGCTGATATTTTTTAAAACTGTGGCACACTTGTTGCTATTGGTTCTAAATAATGATTTATGTGCACTTTTTTCTCTCTGAAATTTCATGTCTTTCTATTTCTGGAAGAATTTTTTGTAAAATATATTCTAGGAATTTCATATCTGGTGACAGCTAGTCTGTCTCACGGTATATACATGTCATTTTATCATTCCCTAATCTTTTTCTCCTCTAGTTCATATTGTGCTGATTGTCTATATTTATACGAGTGTACCTCTTGAAAACCTTTCCTTAAGTCTTTAAAAGATGTTTCTAGAAAATTACTTCTTTGGAGGTCTGACCTAATGCAAGCATGCAGACTGAAGTACATCAAAATAATAATTTCTAACTAAAAAAATCAGAATTGATGCACTCATTTGATAAAGATTGCATTAACCTATTGGAAGCAGAAAATATTGTATCAATTTTGACTGATAGATTGCTGTTTTTGTTTGATAAATGCATCTTGAAATGCAGAAGTCCGGCAGAAGTCAATGACTTCGTGTGAATATCCTTTCATTGTATGGATCAAAGCTTTGGAATTGCTTATTCAAATGCCATCATGTAGAGCAAGAGAGACAAAAAAGAAGTGCATAATGATGAGAAAGTATTTGATTTACTTACATTTTTGTTCATTACATCCCTCTATATATTCTTCTTTTGTCATGTCAGGTTTGATTGGCATGAAAATATATGATTCTTTCTCCAACTTGCCGCTTTGCTTTTCTGAGTAGGAAGTTATGATTTGTTTTTTTTTTTTTTTTTGGACAAAGTATCATTAGGTTTATACTTTGCTTCTGAGTAAGAATTGTTTGGTGGATTATATTTTGGCATGCTTTGCCATGCTTTAATTGATTGTATGTATGGATATAGGGACTAGTGTAAAGTTGGCAACAGCCCGTTCAGTGTTGTGCCATTGACATCAGAGACTATTGATCAGGTTGTACTTGATGGAAATAAAGACTTGTGAACTTGTATGCACTATGGTTAGTTGATTTCTATTGATACCCTCTTATATATCTTCCTTTCTTATTCCTGGTGACCTTATTTCAAGATGATGTATTCTTATTCCTACAGGTGTGGTCATTGCAAAAATATTGCTCAGTAAGTAGGCTAATATTTGTTACAAGACTTCAGCTTGATTGCTTCTAGCTGCACATGAAAACTTTCATCTTCTGTTAGTTTGACTGATCTGGAAATTTTTTTGTAGACCTTTCGAAGGTATCCAATGCTTTAAACTGGAAGAGGATGTTGTAATAACTAACCTTGATGCGGATAATTACAAGAATTTGGCTAAGAAGTTATTTGGAAAGGCACAAGTCATAGTTGCGGAACCTAGAGTTTGTTTACGATTATATTGAATTATGTCGATCATTATGTGAGCAGAATTAACATTTGGCTATTCATCTCATAATATTGATTTCTCTTTCGTCCATGATTTGCAACTTGTGAATTTCTTTTTCCAACAGTATCAAATCTATTTGTTTTAGTTTCTGGTTTGCGGGACATGTTCTTTTAATGCATGATCTCATAATATTCTGAGCTAAATAAGCTCTCTCTCTCTCTTTTTCCAAATATTGTAGCTATCCTTGATTTACAAGCATATCCAGTGAATCTTACTTCTTTTTCATCATTCGGATTTCAGATCACAATATAAAGGCATACACACACAAATTACTCACATACAATTTACATCATTTAAATTGCTTGAAAAAATGATAATAAGGTCTCCCCTCTACTCATTGACTGTGTATGAAACAAGATTAGGAGTGTTTGGGTCAAAAGTTGAAGTTTTCATTGTCATCGAATCTATTACAACTTTGGTCATTATAATAAACTCAAATAAAAAATTGATCTTTTTATAAGATCTCCTTTATACAATGAAAATAAAGATTACAACTCTTATCAAACAGCGCAACGGACGTTTATCACCCGCTACTTTTGTGGGATCTTTGCCTGTGCTGGGGATGTTAATATCCGTGGACCGCCGCGGATCAGATCCGGTTAGCAAAAGTTGGATAATCAATGCTCTCACTTCACGAAGGAAGTAATTGCAGCAGCGGTGATTTTGACTAAGCAAAATCACGGCTCTTCTCGGGATTTAAGACCAAGCTTAAATACGGAGGAATAGGGGACGGGTCTCAGATCTCTCGAACTCCACTCTTTATGCGCAGGAGATCGCCAAGATCTGCTAACGCTTGCTGTAAATTCGTGGCTCCACTCTCCAATTCGGCAGCACTTCGTCCTATTGATGTCCTCCTCTAAAAATGAATACTAGAGCTCTTATTTATAGGCTTGGTTGATGGTTTCTTCAGCTCAAAACGAGGGATTCCCTCTATCTTCAGTTAGTAACTGTCTAACAACAATATCAGAGCAGTTGGAATCCAAAATCCCGAAAGAATCCATAAAAGAACCGAGAAAACCAACTTTTGGCCGAACAGTCACCTAGTGGCTCGGCCTGGCCGGGCCACCAAATGGTGGCTCGGCCTTGACCGAGCCACCATTTGGTGGCTCGGCCTGGCCGATCCACCATTTGGTGG